GAGTGCCAGCCCTCGCCACCTCCTCCATCCACCGCTTGCCTTCCCCAACCCCCCCGCAGTTTTTGGCGCCGCATGCTCCTTTGCTCCCGTCCCGCCCCACCCATTGTACCTCCCCATGCCCAACTCGCAAACCTGGCACAACTCCCTCCTCCTCTCCTTCCCTCCCCCTCCCCTCCTCCCCTAGCAGTCTGAACCATCCCCTCTTCCGTGTCCCTCTGCGTACCCTCCGCCGCTCCTCAGCAGACGCGTCGCTGCTCATGGCTTGCTGGTCGACAGGTGGAAGAGTCGGTGAGTCGCAAGCTGACTTGGCCAACCCACTTTGACTTCAACCTGATCATCACAGGATTGAATCATTGTCACGTACTGGGGAGCAGAGAGGGAGGAGGGGGCGGACTCGATCGGCCCTACGGAGAGTGATCAGATGTTTTTGCAGGTGGTAGGAAGACCAGAATATGATGTGTCTGGACATGTACCTCGTGTAGTGCTTTGTTTCCCTCTCATCGGTGGTCGCTGCCGTGTATACCGCCGAGCTCAACGAGTTTGGGTGGTTTGTGAAGGCGGTGATTCGCGCGAGCTGGATTTGGATGTTTTTCACTTTTTCGGCAGTCTCAATCTCGCCAACGAACGATTCCCGCTTTGCCCCAATTGACCGGCACCACTTCACACTCACACACACACACACAACATGTCGTCCAAGGGGTACGTACCGCCATGATGAAGAGAGAGAACGCTGCCGTTGACAGCAGCGCATCCACAGTACATCCGGAACATACCTAGGTGGTTGTGGATGGCTTGGTTGTTGTATCCTCCCCGTTTGTGCCTTGCTTGTCCTCCCGCTGTGTGGCGATGATGGCTGGTTTTTGTGTGAGGGGGGACCCGCAGCGTTGTCCTCGATATACTGCTGCTGGCTCCCGCACATCCGTACACCCAAGCGCCTGTGCTCTCTACGGCGCAGCTGCTACGCACGCTCGCTCCGATCACCAACCTTTCCGTAGGCTGTAGAGGTGGCCCATGGCTGTCCCTGGCATGTCTGGCCCACCTCCAGCCACCGGATGGGATGGCCCATTATTTTGCTCCCCCCCTCCCCCTCCTCCCTTGTGCCCGTGTGCCTCCCCCCCCCTGTCGTCCCGGAACTTTTTGACCGAGCACGGACAGCGACAACAGCAAGCACCCGTGCTTTGCTACTTGTCATAGTCTCGTGCTCGATGTGACCATGCAACTATGTCGGCATCTTGCGGGGCACCTGGCTCGTCCAGGTCCGCCCCGATGTGTCGGAGGATGAGACTGTAAGACGTAGTCTCCACCGAATGGTATGCGCTGTGTGTATGGATCCCGGCCCTCTCTATCTCTATCTCTATCTCTCTATGGTTGGCACTGTCATGCTGCCGATCGAGAGAAAGGGACTATGATGGTTCGAGCAACTGTGTACATGGCGCCGTCGAGGTGGAAGTGCTTGTCTTTGTCTTGAAATCTGTGGCCATCCATTTTGCTGTTGTGCTCGTACAAGCTCGTGCTGGGCTGGCCTTGGCCTGGGATCTTCCTAGGATTGGTGCAGCTGGTAGCCAGCTTGTCGAGGCAGCAGAGGGATGTGATAACTTTAATTTGCGTTGCTTCTGTGCATCTTGCAAGAGTATGTCTTTGTTGGCTGATGGCGGACAATGTCGGACTTGCTGGATCAGCCCTTGCCCTTTGCTTGGCCCTTGTTGGAAATACGAGAGCAAAGCAGGGTGTGGTGCTGATGCCGCAGTTGGGCTTTTTTCTCGCTTTGCCAACTCTGATGAAATATGTTTATTGCTTCGGGCTCAAGCCGTCGAATGCAACCCGAAGACCGTTGGAAGGAAGTGCGCGGCTGTGCACGGAGAGTGGGCTTTGCAGGACGACCGCGTTCCGCCGAGACTCACCTTTCCCCCTCTTGCCCCGCCCTTGTTACCGCCTGGACCTCTTGTCTACACAGTGCTTCGATTCCGGAGGCTGTCCTCAAGCAGCGCCGCATCTCCAAGGAGCAGCGCGCCGCCAAGGCCAAGGCTGTTGCCGAGCGCAAGGTCGCCAACAAGAAGCGCCACGCCGAGGCCTTCAAGCGTGCCGAGAAGTACGTGAAGGAGTACCGCTCGCGCGAGCGCTCGCTCATTGCCCTCCGCCGTGTCGCCAAGTCCGCCGGCAACTACTTTGTCGAGCCCGAGGCCAAGCTCGCCTTTGTCATCCGCATCCGCGGTACCCAGGGCGTCGACCCGAAGACCAAGAAGGTCCTCCAGCTCCTGCGCCTCCGCCAGATCCACAACGGTGTGTTTGTCAAGCTCAACCGCGCCTCGGAGCAGATGCTGCGCCTTGTCACCCCGTACGTCGCCTACGGTTACCCGTCGCTCAAGAACGTCCGCGAGCTTATCTACAAGCGCGGTTACGGTAAGATCAACGGCCAGCGCATCCAGCTCTCGTCGAACGAGCTCATCGAGGAGCAGCTCGGCAAGTACAACGTCATTTGCATTGAGGACATTGTTCACGAGATCTACACCGTCGGCCCCAACTTCAAGCAGGTCAACAACTTCCTGTGGCCGTTCAAGCTCTCGTCGCCGAAGGGCGGCTTCAGCACCAAGGTCCTCCACTACATCGAGGGTGGTGATGCCGGTAACCGCGAGAACCAGATCTCCAAGCTCATCTCGCGCATGAACTAAAAACCAAACAACCGTATCGATACGTGGTAGCAGCGCCTTCACCGTCGACTCGTGGCCGTACCTATCGGCTACTCGTGGTTGTGTCTGCCCGAGAAACCCGGCCTCTCTTTGCCTGCCAAACCCGCAAGGGCCGGGCCGCAAGCCACCACCGGCAGGTGCCTCCTTCCCTTGCTCTCCCTTTCCCCTCTCCTCTCCGCGCACACTTGACGCAACGACCTCCACCAACAGTACGTAATCCCCCTCCCTTCCCTTCGCCCCTCCCCCCCCCCCCCCCCCCCCCCCCCAGCAATCCCCCCGCCGCTCACCTCCTTCCCTTCCTTGCCCCGGCCACAGTGAACGAGAAGGTGACGTATGGCGCGCTCGGGCTGATTGTGACGTCGATGGTGCTGGCCATTGTGTGCATGGCAACACTAGCATGGGTGGTGGACGAGGCTGGCAACACCACCCTGTACATCGGACTGAAGAAGTACCGTCGCGAGACACCGTCGGGCGATATCTCGGGCTCCCTGGAAGAGCTGAAGCAGACGTACCCGCTGGCGCGCAAGCTCGAGGAGGGCGGAGACAATATCCTCGGCACTGGCATTGTGGCGATCATTCTCCTCTTTGCTGCCCTCATCATGATCATCATCCACATCACAGGCCGTCCACAGTATCGCCTCCACTGGATCGCCATCATCCTCCTCTTCTTTGCCGGCTTCCTCGCCATGCTCGGCACCGTTCTCTACGCCAAGAAGCTCAACGTCGGCTACTCGTTCATCCTCTTCACCTTCACCGGCCCGCTCATCTTTGCCTCGGCCGTCTTTATGCTCTACGCCATCGTCTCCTCGCGCGGCCCGGCGTACGTCCCGCGCAAGGCCCCGCAGCAGGCCCCTGCCACCGGCTCGGTCTAGTCGACCCGCAACCGCGCCCTCCCCTCTCTCGAAGAGACCTCCATTAACATGCCTGGTAGTGTACAGGTTGCTTGCCCTCACCCGAGCTTGCGGCGGCGGCCTCCGCTCTGCACACCCACTGCGACCATTCACGGAACATGCAACATGGATGGACCACGGGTATGGACATGATGATTGCAACCAGCAATACATAGCAACGGTGGCTTGTGTGCTAGGCGGTGGGAGAGTGACGATGACGATGACGATGTTGACCAGCGCCGGTGGTGTGAGTGGACCGGCGGCGGTGGCGGTGCGAGTGGCTGGCGCGAGTAGCAGTGTGTGTGCGGCGAGTGGCGGAGCACTCGACGACGGTTCGGCGGAAGCGAGCTCGTTCGACGTTGCGATTGGAGTCAGAAGAGGGAGGAGGGAGGAGCTTGAGGAATATGTCGTCTGGAGAGCTGCTTCTGTCGAGGATACCCAGCAATGAAGAGTTTACACAAGTCAAGGCATTCTTTGAGTTGACGGAAGAGAACATGACGTTCTGTGGATGGGTGACCAAGACCAAGCGCAAGAAAAAGTCTGTCGACCACCGGCTGCTCACCATCGGTCAGTACCGAGTCGCCACCTGGAAGGAGTCCAAGCTCGGCTCTGCACTCAAACTGGCTCGTGAGGGTCACCTGCTTGACCTTGCCTCGCTCGACTATGTAGAGGCTGCAGAACATGCTTCGGTCAACCTCAAGTTTCGTGAGTTTGAGTTCCCTTTCGTGGAGACCCTCTCCCGCGGGAGGCACATTGTCTCGCTTATCAAGAACTTCTACGTCCTCATGTCGTGCAACGTGCCGCAGGAAACCTTTTTCGGTCTCTATGTTAACGCTGCTCCAGACGCACCTGAGGATCTTTCTCGCTTTCCGCCGCTGCCCAAGGGCATTCCCTTTTCTGGCTTTGTCGAGGCGTATGAGGCCCACTGCGTCCGCGCGGGCCTCCAGCTGGCAAACGTTGTTGTCTATCGCGAGCTCCTTGACTACATTGTCCAGCACGCTGGTGATAGATCCATTGCGCTGGTCCCGTCGCTCCTCAACTCGTTCGAGTTTCTTGACGCCAAGGCCCGCCCGCTCTTCCTGCTCGAGCCCTTTGTCAACGCGCTCAAGTACAACGCCTACTTTGAGTCGGTCACTGTCTCGTCGGTCACCCGCCTCGACATCTTTGACGTTCTCTCCCACGCTTTTACCGCCAACTCTACCATCACCCGCCTTGATCTCTCGGAGCTCTCGGCCAACTCGGGTTTTGGAGTCTTTGGCCGCGCCCTGCGCGACAACCCGGTGTGTGCCCTCACCGCCATCGACCTCTCTTTCAACGCCATCAAGGACAAGGGCATTGCCGCCCTGGCACCAGGCCTCGCCACCCTCCAGCTCCGCGAGCTCAATCTGGCGTACTGCCAGTTTGGCGCAAAGGGCATGTCCGCGCTCGGCAAGGCCCTCGCGGCTGCGCCGCACGTCGCCACCTCGCTCGCCCAGCTCGACCTCTCTGGAAACAAGCTCGGCTCGTCGGGCACCAGCGCTCTTGCCAACTGGCTCGTCGACGCCCCAATCACCACCCTCGCCTCGCTCAACGTCGCCGAGACCGCGCTCAAGGTCAAGAAGTTCTCGCCCATCCTCTCGCCCGAGGCCACTCCGGGTCTGGTCAAGCTCAACCTCTCGAACAACACCTTTGTTGACCGCGACGTTGTCCACCTCTCAAACGCACTCATGTCGTCTGCTGTTGTTGAGCTCGACCTCTCGGCTGCCAAAGTCTCCATCGAGAGCCTCGCCGGCATTGTTGGCTGCCTCGTCACCGACCGCACCCGCACCCGCTCGGTCCTGGATCTCTCATCCATCCCGCTCAAGCCGGCCGGCGCTATCCGCCTCGCCTCCTCGATCTCGGTTGGGCTCAACCTCCGCTCGCTCTGTCTGGACGACGCCCAGCTCGGCTCCGAAGGCACCATCGCCGTCCTCGAGGCCCTCATCCAGTCGCCCATGATCGAAGCGCTTTCGCTCTCGCGCAACGTCCGCGCCAAAGACAAGGCGCTGCCGGACGTCGTCAACGCACTTGTCCGCCTCGTCTCGCTTCCCAACTCACCGTTGGTCTCGCTCGAGATCCTCGGCAACTCCAAGTACGCGTTTGGCAGTTCGCTCGTCGAGTTCTTTGACGCGCTCGCCTCCAATGCCGCGCTCAAGGAGCTCAACGTTGAGGGTAACGGCTTTCGCGATGAGGGCGCCGAGGCGCTCGGCGCCGCCCTCGCCTCCAACGCCTCGCTCGAGACCATCTTTATCGACAACAACGCCATGTCGCTTGCGGGCTTAGACGCCTTTGCCAACGGCGTCGCCTCCAATTCGTCCATCATCAACCTGCCCATTCCGGACGCAGAGTTCAAGCGCATCGTGCTCGACAATGCCGGTGATACCGAGGCCTTTGAAAAGATGCGCAACATTATCAAGACCCTCCGGTTTGCCGTCCGCTTCAACAAAACAGGTCGCGGTGCAGGATGGGCGGCCCCGACGTCGCTCTTTGGCGACGACCCGAACCTCTCCGACGACGAGTGGCTCGCCCGCGACAAGCTCGAGCGCCGCGCCCGCCGCGCCGCCCGCCGCGCCGCAAAGGCCGAGGCCGAGCGTCGGACCAACGAGGTTGGCTCTGCCCATCGTGCCTCGCTCAACATGTCTCGTGCCAACAAGCGCGGCACCCTCTCTATCTCCGACTTTCAGGTCGAGGACTTTATGGAGCGCATGGGCTCAGTGTCCAAGGCCGGTGGCGGAGCTGGGGCCGCCAAGGGTCGCGGCCTGCTTGCGACCGCCGCGCGCAACCGCGCCACCAACCAAGGTTCGGACGCCGTCGTCCGCATCCGGCCCATCCCGGCTCCGAGACCGACGTCGATGGTGGGTGCCGGCGCCGGGCCGTCCGAAACCACATTCCGGCTCGATTACTCGTACGACTCGGACTCGGACTCGGGCTCGGACTCGGGCTCGGGCTCGAACGACTCGTCATGACCAAGCCAGGGGAGCTGCTGTTCTACGATGACGAGAATGACGAAGTTGACGAGGACGACGAGGATGATGAGGATGTTGCAGCAGCAGCAGATGCCAGTGTGGCCGTCTCGCTCCGCGATCTTGCCGGCGTGAGGACGCCCTGCAGCGCAATGTTGGCCACCATGACCTCGCACATGCCCATGTCGGCCCCGTGGGTGCCAACTGTGCGTATGATCCATCTCGTCAGCGCTCATGGAGAACGCGGCCGGAGCCATGAGCTTGTTGGCATCGATTACCCTTCCCCGCAATGAGCCACAGGCCGAGCCCGTTGCCGACGACGATGGCGAAAACGACGACGATGACTCCGATGATCACGCTCCAGTGACGTAGCGCGCAGTCCACAAACGTCCCGCCGCTGCCAACGCCCACAGGCAGGCAAACCGAGGACATCGCCACAGCCTTTGACGACCCTTTTTTGGCGCCAAAGACCAAAGAGGTAAATGCAACGGAAGGACACTGTCCGTGATGACCGGTGAGAACGATGACACGAGCGACACGCCCGACGACTACCATGACGACGACCACAACCATGACCATAACACGCCAACTCATGACGACGACGACCTGCACCCCTCTATCATCCCCTCCTCCCCTTCGAACACCGACATGTCGTCGTCGGTGGCGGGTGGCGGGTCCGGCCCGGTCGTCCTCTCCTCCCAACCCTCGTCAACGGTAGTCGATGGGAGGTATGCTCGCAAGGGGACCTTTGTCACACAAGTCAGTGAAGGCTTTCCGTCTGGAGGTACAGCAGCACATGTCGAGGCTGCAGAGGCTCGGACAGCAGATGCAGAGGCTCGGACAGCAGATGCAGAGGCTCGGGCAGAGGCGGCAGAGGCTCGGGCAGAGGCGGCAGAGGCCGAGGTGGCGCGGATCCGAACAGAAGCAGAGGCGGCAAAGAAGGCGGCTGGTGAGGCCGAGGCGACGGTGAACAGGCTCAAGGACCAGATCGCAGCAGTGAGAACAGAAGCGGCCAAGGCGCGTGGGGCAGCGGCCGAGGAGGAGGTGGACAAGGCCACCATATCGAGATTGCGCGGGCAGATCCGCTCGCTGCAGGCCACCATCAAGGTGCTGGAGGCCGCAGAGGCACCGCACTCGCAGCCGGTGACCGCGACCGCGGGCGATGCGGCGAGCGGCTCGGCCGAGGAAAAGCTGGAAAAGATGGGTAAGGCGCTGCACTCGATGCGGGCACACCTGCTACAGTCGCGGAAGGAGAACACCAAGCTGCATGCGCAGCTGGACCGGTTCCTCACCCGCGACTCGCTCGTCGATTTGCACAACCGCATTTCGCAGCTCTCGGCCCAGCTGGAGGAGGTTACCAAGGAGAAGCGGACGCTGGAGTCTGCGCTCCGCAAGGCCACTATGACTCGCAGCTCCGAGGCCCGCTCGCCGCTCCGAGAGCCAGCAGATACGCGCGGCTCTGTTCCGCCACCACCACGCCGCGAAGGCCGGCCGTCGTCACGCTCCGAGGCCCGGGCGCTGCGAGCGCAGGCCGCTGCGCTTCGTGACAAAGTCAAGCACGAGCGTGAGATTGCGTCTCGGGCGCAGACCAATCTCATTGCAGCGCAGGCTGTGCTGACCGACCTTGCGCTTGCACTTCGCGATGCCGGCGAGTCCGCACTCCCACTTGCTGGCTCCGAGTCTGCCGACCCCGCAGCCGCCGTCGCCGCCGTTGTCCGCGTCGTCCGCGCCAATGCCAAGTATAAGACCGCGCTCGACGGCGCCAAAGAGGCTCGCGCCAAGACCATCAGCCGCGCCCGTAGCCACATTCACTCGCTCCGCTCGCGGCTCACCGCCACCCACACCGCGGTCCGCTCGCTCTACCGCGCCATCAAGGCCGGCGGACTCGCCCGCAAGCAGGCACTCGATCCGGCAGCGCTCGTCGGCACGCTCCGCAAGCTCCTTGTCGCCACCAAACCCCCGCCGACCCAGCAGGCGGCCCGGACCTCGCCTGACTTGTCCGAGCGGTCGGCCGTGTCGCTCACACCGGCCTCGATCCGCGCCTCGCCATCGCGGCGGACGCCCGACTCGTAGGCAGTAAAGAGCCACTGGTGCGCACACCTGTCTCACCCACCTACCATCGGCATGCCCTCGATCTCTACGCTGGCCTTTGCAGCTGTTGTGACTGCCTTTGCGCTCGGCCATATCGCCGTCTTTGTCCTCGGCGCTGATCGCGGCGTTGTGGCAGACCTTCTCGCGCTGACGTACTCGACGATGCTTCCGATCGGATGCGGGGCGCCCTTGCTGGACGGCGGGGCGTGGCGCATGCGGCTGGGCGCGGTGGCCACGACCTTTGTCGCCATGTCCGCCATCACGCATCTGACTTGGGAGGCCGGGTGGCTCGTCTTCCGTGAGGCCATTGCGGCGTCTCCGACGGCGCCATGGGCCTACTCGTGGTGGGCGTACATCGATGGCGGCGACACGCGGTACGCGCAGCCGGACAACACGCTGCTAGTGGTCATGGAGGGCCTCTCGGTGTGCAACGGGGTGCTCGGCGCCTCCGCCCTCGGTCTCTACGCCAGTGGCGGGCGCTACGCTCCGCTCGGTGTGCTCGGTATGATGGCCATGGCCGTCGTCCATCTCTACTCGGTCGCCCTCTACTACGCCACAGAGCTCATCGACGGCCTCCCCTCGGTCGGCGACTCCGTCTTTGACCTCGGGTTCAAGTTCATCCTCGCCAACGCACCCTGGCTCGTCTTCCCACCCGTTGTCATCGTCTGGGGCATCGGTGAGCTGCTCCCTACCATCATCCACCATCCGCACTGCGCCTAGAGCCTGCCATCTCGCCGCCACCAACCTCTGTCATAGGGAACCCGTCGCTGTCACCAATCGCTGTTGCTGATCGCTCTCGCCTCTGCTCTGCCGCCGCCGCTCTCAACGGCGTGATAATCATTGCCATCGACTCGCCACTGGTAACCAGCAACTGCATCAACTGCATCAACTGCGCCAACTGCAGTGGCAAGTTGCGGCAGTGAGCCGTGACAATCGTCTGGCAGCTGTGCTCGGTCGGCCTCTCGGCGTCATTGCCCCCACCAAGTCTCTCTGTCGCCGACCCCGAGCCGCCGACTCACCCAGCCGCTGCGCCCCGCTCCCCGACCCGCCTCGCCCCACTCCACCTCGCCATGCGCGTGGTCTGGCTCTCGCTCGCCTTTGCCTCGCCGGGCTTTTCCGGAAACTGCTTTGCCGCTCGAGCATACGTCCGTGCCCTCCTTGCCCGTGGCCACTCGGTCGACGTTGTCTGCGCCGTCCCGCTCGCCGAGCATCCGTCGGCGACTGCTCTCACGCTCACGCCGCTCGGCAGCGGCCCGGTGCCGGACATGGCCCCGGTCCCGATCAAGGACTCCAACTCTGTCTGCTCCTCGGTGTGCTCGACGCATCCGGCCTTTGCCTTTCTCGATGATTGGGAGGCTCGCCCGACCGTCTGGGCCTACCCGGTCTCGAGCTGGTACAAGGTCGATGCCTCTGCGCCGCACGCCGAGTGGGCGGCGGCGATTGAAGCGGCTGCGGCGGCTGGTGAAGGCTCGACTCCGCGGTTGGAGGAGGCAGACTCGCTGGTCTTTGTTGACTTTACCTCGTTGGGTGCTCTCGATGCGCTTGCAGCAAGGTGTCAGAGCCTCCCGCGCTCGCTCTTCCTCCCGTACAGGATCTACAGCACCGATCCCGGGCTGGCCCAGGATGCGGCTGCCACATATGCGGCTGTCGAGACACGTTGTGTGGCTCGAGCAGATGGCGTCGCGGTCCTCTCTTCGCTTGATGGCGAGCGCCTAGCTAGCCTGTGCGAGACCGAGACCGAGCTGGCGGTCCTCTGGCCGCCGCTGCGGAGTGCTGTGGCGACGCTTGCGGCGGGCGCAGACATTTGTCCAGATGTCCGCAGATATCTGCTCTGCTGTGTCCGCGTTGCGCCGGTCAGAACGTGGCAGCCTACGTCGAGGCGGTCGAGGCATGCGCCGGCGAGCTTGCTGCTGCGGGCATCGTCCCATTCATGTGCGGCGCCGCGCCTGACGCCGCCTACGCCGAGGCCATGTACGCGCGAGTCCTCACCGCATGCCCTGATACGCACATTATTCGCGGCTCGTTGAGCACGACGGAGCTAGGCGAGGCCTTTGCCCGTGCTGTCGTCAACGTCCATCCGGCCACTTACGAGCCGTGGGGTATGACCCTCGCCGAGGCGGCAGCCTTTGGCACGGCAACCGTCTGCCACGCCGAGACTGCCAACATTGGCGTTGTCCGCGATCTGCTTTGCGAGCCCGGGGTGACTTTTGTGGCCAACATGGACGCTCCTCCCGACGCGCCGGACTCGCTTGCCTCAGTCCTTCGCGGCATGCTTGCCGCTGGCACTTTTCGCGAGCTTGCCGCCGAAGCCGGCGCCGCTGCGCGTGAGCTCGCGGTCGGCTGGCAGGAGGACCAACTTGGGGCTCGGCTGGAGGAGCTGCTGGTGAGCTGAATGTTGCTCGTCGTGGCGTGCGATGGTCTTTACTGAGAGCCATCGTCAGAGATGGCACCATCAAGCGGCTCCGGCGGCTGGCGCGCGCCCTTGAGCGTCGACGACGCGCCGACTGGGGCAGTCCGTGCATGGTACGGAGTCTGCATGCCCGACGGGTCAAACGCCGTCGACATAGACGAGAGCTGGACCAGTGGCATGAACGACGATGCCTCGATCGACTCGTTCGCCTCGGCTGCTGCCGGGTAGGCTGCCGCCGGATAGCTGGTGATGGGGTAGGATGCCGCTGGCCGCGGGCGCGGCACCGCCGCGGTGACTGATGCAGCCGTCGCCAGGGCGCGAGACTGCTTGTGCTTCAGCCCGAGCACGTACTTGCGCTGCGCATCGAGCTCGATCGAGGCCTGTGCCGATTCGCGGTCCCACTTGGAGAGTTCCTTGGCGAGGAAGGAGAAGGCCTGAGTGGCGGTGCGGCGCGGCGGCGGCGGCGGCGGCGCGTTCTGTTGTGCAGGAACGTGGATCTGCGCCTGCGCGGCGTGCGGATAGTAAAGGTGCGGCGAGCTGTTGACCGAGACCGGCTGTAGGACGCGCTCGGCGTGCGCGGCCGAGGCTTCACGCGAGAGCGCGATCTTCTCGTCGGTGAGCGTCGAGCGCTCGCGTGCAATGTCGACGCGCTCCTGCTCGAGCCGGCGCTGCTGGTCGGCAAGATGTGCCTCCTTGTCTGTGAGCGCGGCCTTGGCAGCTGCAAGCTCGGTCTCCTTGGTCGTTAGCTGGGTGGCGCGACGAGTGAGTTCGGCGCGCTCGTCGGCAAGCGCCGTGTTTTGCTTGGCAACTTGACCCGCGGCGTCGTCGAGGCGGCTCTCGCGGGCGGCAAGCTGGTCGCGGAGAGCGGCGAGCTCGGCACGCTCGTCGTCAAGCCGGCGAGAGGCGGTGTCAAGTTCTTCCTCCTTGGCTTCGAGCTGGGCCTGTGCGCCACGGAGCGTGTCGCGATCGTTGGCGATGGCACCAAACTCGCGCTCGAGCTGGGCCTCCATGTCCTGAACCTTGCGAGCGGCGGCGTTCATGGCGTCCTGGGCTGCAGCCTGGGCGTCGGCCAGCGACGCCGACTCGCGGGCGAGCGCGCGTTTTTCTTCTGACACCTGCGCCAGCCAGAGCTCCTTCTCATTGAGCATAGCCTCTTTCTCGCGCATCAGTTGAGTTCGCTCCGATGCCAGCTCGTCCTTGCTCCGTGCCTCGGCCTCCTTGAGCGCCAGCTCCTTCTCGCGCAGCGACTTTTCCCAAGCCACCAGCGACTGGGCGCGGCCGCTCGAGGCCTCACTATCCGGATCGGGCGGCGCGTTGCCAAGCGTTGCATACAATTCGCGAAGTTGGCTTCGCTCCGACTCGAGCGCCCGTCGCTCCGACTCGACCCGCTCGCGCTCAGCCTTGAGGGCGTCGAGCGCGAGGGCAGCGTCGGTCGAGACATGCTTGGTCAACGAGTCGATCGACGCCGACGACGCCGAGACCTTGCTCACGAGCGACGAGAGCTCTGATGCCTGGACCTCGCGACGGCGCATGGCCTCCAGCTCGGCTTCATGCAGCTTGCGCATCGAGTCCATCTGGGCATGAAACTGACGCTGCGCAGCCTGGACCTCGGTGGCATGTGTCGACTCGGCATGCTGCAGCGCCTGCTTGTGCATGGCTGCAGCGTGCTCGGCCTCTTGCGCATGGCGCGCCCGCAGCGACGAGACCATGGCTTCGTGTTCGGCAGTGATGGCGGCGACATGCGACTCGTGGCTGTTCTTGAGGTACGCGAGTTCGCGCTCGAGTTTGGCGTTCTGCGATTGCTCGTAGGCCAGCGCCCGCTGCAACTCGGCGATGGTCCCGAGGTGGTCGTTGATGGCAGCCTGCGATGCGGGACCAATGCCGCCGGCTGCTGCTGCCGTTGCTGCGCCAATCGCAGTCCGCGCTGCAAACACGGGTGATGTCGAGTACGAGATGTTTGGCTTGGCTGTGGACTGCGGCGAGCTCTTGTGCGCTGCTGGCGACGCGCCCGGCAGAGCAAGATGTGTATCGTCGTCCGAGAGCTCGGGGAACGAGCCGTCGTCCGATGCCGGCTTGTCGGCGCTCCCTGACCCTGCGGTGCCCGAGGCAGCGCCAGGAGCGCCGGCTGACGCGCGCATGGTCGCCACCTTTTGGCGCAGAATCGGGACGAGCGGATGCTCATCGCGCACCTCGCCCGAGAGCGAGTTGACAAACGTGCCGTCGGCCTGGGCCTTCCACGGGAACGGCAGGTCCGACTCGATGCCGACGTCGACGACATACAGTAGCGGCGCGTCGGCGGGGTTTGACGGGTCGAGCCCAAGCCAGTGGTACCAAGCCTCTGGGTTGTTCGCCACGCCGGCCGACTTGGGCGTTAGCTGGGTTGACGACGCCGGCGAGACTTCAAACTCGTCGTATGCCGATGGCGCCGGCGCCGCGGGCTTGCTCGCACTTCCCGTCTTGCCTTTGCCAAACGACGACCAGTCGAGTCGCCCCGCGCCACCTGCCGGAGCCGCCGCAGGAGCCGCCGCAGGCGCCGCCGCCGCCGCCGCCGAGTTTCGCGGTGCAAACGATGACTGCTTTGACTTTGGTGGCGAGGCAAGGCCCATGTCGGCGAGAAGGTCATCATCATCGTCATCGTCGTCGTCAAGCAGGGCGAGCTCATCCAGCTCGTTCCCGCGCGAGTTGCTCTGTCGCGCCCCTGGTGTGGCACTAGTCGGGTTACCGGCCGGTACAGCCGAGCTAGGACGTGCGCGCGCACCTGCACCAAACGACGAGAACGAAAACATGGCCCGATCCGACTTGCTCGCAGGCTGCGCCGTGTGTGGGCGGTCCTGGGGCTGATGATTTCTACCGTAGCCACCAACAGGTCTGGACGAGGCCGATCCTGCATGCGAGCCAAGAGGCGGTGAGCGCGACGAGTCGATGGGCGACCTTTCTGCTCCCGGCGAGTCAAACGAAGGGCGACCGAGTGAGCTCGCTACCGACGACCTTCCGGGCTGGCGAGTCCCGTAAGCCAAGCCGGCGCCACCAGCCGGAGCCTTGCCACCAGCCGAGCCCGCCGTGGTTTGTCGGGCATTCCGAGTGGAGGAGAAGCGAGACGAGGATGCAGCAGAGGCGGAAGCTGTTGCCGAAGCCCGACCTACCGGGCGACCTGTCGCCTTCCCGGCCATGCCTGTGCCCCGTGTCGCACTCGGTCGACCCATGGTAGCGGCCGAGGCCATGGTGGTGGTGGTGGTGGTGGTGGGAGGGCCAGCGGGAGAGGCCGGGAGCGTGTCCACCTCGAACGAACCGGACGACGAGTCCAGACCTAGGAGGCCGGCAAGCTCGTCGAGGTCGTCCATCCCTCCTCGTTGTTGCGTAAGGTGTGGGGATGGGTTGGGGGGGAGGGGAGGGGGGGAGACTTCCCGCTGTTGCTGGCTTGAAACGGTTTCGCCGTTTCGCGCGCCAAAGTTGGCGGAAGGGAATGACATGACGGGCGACAGGCGGCGGGCGAGAGACGGTGGATGATGGCATGGGCGGCGGGCGACGGGCAGCGGTCTGGTGGTGGGATGATGGTGGTCAGTGGGCGGGCGGATGGATGTGGTGACGTTCATTTACTGCTTCTGAGAACCGAGAGCTTGCTTACATGCGCGAGCGGAGGTCAAAGCGGTCGAGATCCATGACCTTGGCCCATGCGGCGGCAAAGGAGTTGACAAAGTGGTCAGCGGCATCGTCGGCGGCAAAGACCTCAGCGAGGGCGCGGAGCTGCGAGTTGGAGGAGAAGATGAGGTCGGCGCGGGTGGCGGACCACTTGGTAGCGCCGGAGCCACGCTCGGTGCCGACGTACACGCCATCGGCGGCCGGAGCCCAGTCGATCGAGTCGTCCAGGATGTTGACGAAGAAGTCTGTGGTGAGGGCACCCGGCCGGTCAGTGAGGACGCCGAGGTCCGAGCCAGCAGCGTTGGCACCGATGACGCGGAGGCCCGCAAGGAGGACCGCCATCTCGGGGCTAGTGATGCCAAGGAGGATGGTCTTGTCGACGAGCAGCTGCTCGGCCGGGCGCTTGTTGTCGGGCGCGTAGTAGTTGCGGAATGCGTCTGCAGTGGGCTCGAGGACAGCAAAGCCCTCTGTATCAGTCTGGTCCTGGCTGGCGTCGGTGCGGCCGGGAGTAAAGGCGACGCAGATGTCGTGGCCGGCGGCGGCGGCAGCAGCCTCGACGCCGACGACGCCTCCAAGGACGATGAGGTCGGCCATGGAGACTGACTTGGCGCCGGCGTTAAAGTTGGCCTGAATGCCGTCGTAGACGGCGAGGACGGCCGCAAGGGCGGGCGGGTCGTTGACGGGCCAGTCCTTCTGTGGCGAGAGGCGGATGCGGGCGCCGTTGGCGCCGCCGCGCTTGTCGGTGTCGCGGTAGGTCGAGGCGGAGGCCCATGCGGTGCGGACGAGCTGGGCCGGGGTGAGGTCCGAGGCGGAGATGGCAGCCTTGAGCGTGGCAATGTCATCGGCGTCGATGACGGCAGCCGGCGGCGACGGCAGCGGATCCTGCCACAGCTCGGGAGTGGTGGGCACAAGCGGGCCGAGGTAGCGGGCGATGGGGCCCATATCGCGGTGGAGGAGCTTGAACCAGGCCCGGGCAAAGGCGTTGCCAAAGGCCTCCGGGTTGGAGTGGAAATGGCGCGAGATGCGCTCGTAGTCCGGGTCGATGCGGAGGGCGAGATCAGTGGTGAACATGATGGGCGGATGCGACTTGGCCTCATCGTGCGCGTCCGGAACCAGGCCTGAGCCGGAGCCGCCCTTGGGCGTCCACTGCGAGGCGCCCGCCGGGCTCTTAGTCAGCTCCCACTCGTAGCCAAAGAGCATGTCAAAGTACGAGTTGTCCCACTGGATGGGCGTCGGAGTCCATGCACCCTCGAGGCCCGAGGTGATGGCGTGTGCGCCGGCGCCCGACTTGTACGACGAGTTCCAGCCGAGGCCGCGGGCGGTGATGGACTCGCCCTCAGGCTCGGGCCCGACGTACTTGGACGGGTCGGCAGCGCCGTGGGCCTTGCCGAATGTGTGCCCTCCGGCAATGAGGGCGACGGTCTCTTCGTCGTTCATGGCCATGCGGCCAAACGACTCGCGGATGTCGGCGGCGGCCTTCATCGGGTCCGGCTCGCCGCCGGGGCCCTCCGGGTTGACGTAGATGAGGCCATGCTCGACAGCACCAAGGCCTTCAGCAAGCTCGCGCTTGCCGTCCTTGGGGTACCGCTCAGAGTCAGTGAGCCACTCGGTTTCGGCGCCCCAGAAGATGTCCTCAGGCTCGTACTTGTCGATGCGGCCAAAGCCAAAGCCGACGGTCTCGAGACCCATCGACTCGATGGCCAAGTTGCCGGCGTACACGATGAGGTCGGCCCACGAGATCTTGCGGCCGTACTTCTTCTTGATGGGCCACAGCAGCCGGCGGGCCTTGTCGAGGTTTGCGTTGTCGGGCCACGAGTTGAGCGGCGCAAAGCGCTGCATGCCGGTCCCAGCGCCGCCACGCCCGTCCGAGACGCGGTAGGTGCCTGCGGCGTGCCAGGACATGCGGATGAAGAACGGGCCGTAGTGGCCGTAGTCAGCCGGCCACCAGTCCTGCGACGTCGTCATGACCTTCATGACATCGTTGCGGAGCTCATCGAGATTGACCTTGGCAAACTCGGCCGCGTAGTCAAAATCCTCGCCCATGGGGTCGGCCAGCCCGCTGTTGGTCACCAGCGGCTTGAGGTTGAGCGAGTTGGGCCACCATTCGCGGATGCCAGGTGCACCAACAGCAAGGTTGGTATGACCCTTGAACGGGCAGGTACCGCCCTTCTACAGTTCCGACCGAGGGAAGGAAGACAACGGCGGGAGTGTCCGCAGGTGTACGAGCCCACCGTCCGCACGCGTGTAGCGATCCGACGTGCACGAGACATTCGCCAACGAAAAAGGCCATGGGATTTTCGGCGAAAAAGAACGTGAGTTAAGATAAAGGTTGCGGGAAAAAGGCAGGGGCGGCGGTTTGGCAAGGAAGAACATATGCTGCGGATGTCGCAGTCAGTGCCGCAGCCAGTGCCGCAGTCAGAGTGGGGACAAGGAGGGGGGTGGGGGAGATATGAGCTGGTGTTCTCAAGTGTGGGAGGGTACATACCGATTTGTTCGGGCAGCGACCGGTGGACGATGATGCAGACATGATGGATGATTACTATTGTTCGGTGAAGGAGCCGAGTTGGGTGTGGATTAGTGTTGAACACGTTTTAGTTGGCAAAAATGCTGGCTAATTAAGTGGCGCCAGGGTCTGCGGCTTTTGTACGGCTCGGCATGAGGGGCTAGCGTCAGCCGGCCACAACCGTCTCGCCGCAGCCTGCTATTGCGTCATTGACCGGGTCATCGCACACGATAGCCGGTATGTGGGGGGGGGGGCATAGCCAGAGATGGGGCGGGGAAGTCGGTACGGGTGTCGATCGGGGTACATGTGGGCTTGTGTGCGATGGCGCCAACATCTGTGCACTGGCTGGGTCAGGGCGGCAGCTGCTGATGCTGTTGGCCTACTTTGATGCGGAGGTCATTGGCCAGCGATCAGTGCTAGCTCGGGTCAGAGTGGGAGGGGAGGGATGAGCTTGATCCCAGACAGTAGATCCCAGATGATATTGCGCAGGGCGACGTATGGGCTCGTTGGAAGTATCACAAGCCTCGGACAGCATTCCAAGCGCTGGATGCAAGTTTCGCGGGCGCTAGCCGCCGCGGACACGGTCATCAGCGGCACTTGATTGAGCTTGATTGCGCGATGCGGCGAAAAAGCACGGCTTGATGAGTACGAATCTTGCGTCAGCCTCGTTGTGTGGCGTCTGATGGGTCCACTCCTTGTGTGTGCGATGTGGTCCCCTCTCCAAGGGTGGGGCGAGGCAACTGATGAGGAGGTACGCGTTGCGTCCCGTGATCGCGTCTCCGCCGACGGACGGCTAGAAGCTGTTTGAGGGCGTGTGCGCAGCTGTGGCCTTGTAGACACTGACAAAGGGGAGTCACGATAGAGGATAATGAGATAAAGGGCATAGCAAGTGTGGATGGCTGCGGGGAGGATGCCTGTGTCTACGGGAGCGTCTTGAGTATGGAACACGGGAGGAGGAAGGTAAAAATAGGGAAGAAAATTGCATTTGCTGACGTCGCGGAACCGATCAAAGTCAGTCAGGCTGAGGACGGACTGGTGGTGGTAGGGGCACAGGTTTGGTGGCCGGAAACGGACGAAAGTGGAGGCAGACTTTACTCTCTTCTCCGTGACAATGATGACGATGAAGACGCTGATTGTTGTGGTCCTTGCGGCTGTTGTGCTCTCTTCCTGCCTCCTTGGAGCCGAGGCCAAGAAGCGGCACAAGCCGAAGTCGTCGGCTGGGGCGGTAGGTTGCCAGGGGGGAGGGAGGGGGGGGAGGGGGGGGGGGGGGGAGGGGAGGAAGGGGAGGGGTATACTCATTGTGTACTTGTGCATATATATATATGTGTGTGTGTGTGTGTGTGTGTGTGTGTGTGTGTGTGTTTGTGCGTGTGTGTTTGGTGGTGATGATCATGGTCGACGACTTGATCTCCTCTGCATGGCGGGTCGTTGGTGGCGGTGGCGGGGCGGTGACGGTGATGGTGATGGTGACGATGGTGACGATGGTGACGATGGTGACGACGGTGGTGGTGGTTGTGGTGGTTGTGGTTGTGGCGACGGTGGTGGATGATGTCGATGACAGGGCGCGGATCTCAAGATCGATGTGGAGCATGTGCCGGAGGACTGCGGGCGCAAGTCGGCCAACGGCGACTCGCTCTCGATGCACTACACCGGCAAGCTGGAGGATGGTACTGTGTTTGACTCTTCGGTCACTCGTGGTACTCCCTTTGAGTTCCGTCTCGGTGCAGGCATGGTCATCCAGGGCTGGGACCAGGGCCTCCTCGACATGTGTGTTGGCGAGCGCCGTGTCCTCACCATCCCGCCGCATCTCGGCTACGGCGACCGTGGCGCCGGTGGCGTCATCCCCGGCGGCGCCACCCTCATTTTTGAGGTCGAGCTCATGGGCATCAAGTAAGCACAGCGCTAGTCGCAATAAAGCTGCTCCCTGACCCCTGCGCACCCCCTTCCCGATCAGCCCCCCCCAGCCGCCAGTCGTTCTGCCGAATCACCACAGGCCCTCAGCCTACCATCGCCACGCCTCGCCAACCACACCGCATCTCACTCTCCTGGGCGGAGACCATGCTCGACACTCCGCCACCGCCACCACCCCCACCGCCGCCCCCAGCACTTGCCGCCACCCCTCCACCTCCTCCACCTCATGTCATCCCTGCCATGGATGCTAAAGCCGCCACGGCCTCCTCGGCAGCTCCGGCGCCGCCTGCCTGGCGAGACCGAGTGTATCCCGCAGCAGAGTACGCACCCCCTCCCTGCCCCCCCCCCCTCCCCTCCTCTCTCCCCACTTACGCACACACAAACACACGCATGCGCGTTCTCTCTCTGTCTTTCTTCCTTGGATGCCGGTGGTGGTGGGCGTAGGGTGCGATCGGTGCGTGTGGCGGTGGAGGCTGTGGAGGCTCGAGCATATCGGCTGGGAGAGGCAGGTGGAGATGTTGTAGGCCAACAAGGCGGGGCAGGTCGGCTGGTGGTGGCAGGTGACGGCGAAGGAGATAGGAGTGCAGGAGATGACAGGCTGATGGTGCTGAGTGTACTGCGGTTGCTGCCTCCGCTGCGGCAGGTCGGCCCGATGTGCGGCATCACGGCTGTGGCCATGCTGGTGGCCAAGCCCGACGCAGATGCGGCCCGTGACGCGCTTGCAGACGGCGGGGACGACAAAAGCACTAAGCTTGTTGACGTGTACTCGGCGCCGGTGCTCGAGGCGGCTGTCGCGGCGGGCTACTCGAGAGAGGGCGAGATGTTTGATGCCGGCGAGCTGGCCGAGCTGGCCCGCAAAGTCCTGCCGAGCGCGGTGCAGGTTCACGGGCTAGCGTGGGCGGCCGAGACCGGGGTCGAGGCCCGGGTGGCGAGCGTGGCGGATGCGCTCGCCGCCGGCGCGTTTGTTCTCCTTGCCTACGATGCGGCGCCTAACCACGAGCCCGCGCTGCGGTCCGGGCACGCCGCGCACTGGGCGGTGGTCGTCGGCGTCGTCCACGTCGGTGACTCGCCGACCTACTTTGTGACCCGCCATGGCAAGTCGTCGCATCTTGCGCTCTGGTCTGCGGCGCAACTTCTTGCCTCCAATGCGCAGCTCGTCGAGTCGCATCCGGCCAAACGGGCGAGCGGCCACTACGCCATGCCTGCCGATCTTGGCGACCGACTGGCATCGCGCGCGGTGGTTGTCAGCCTCTGACGGAGCTCGCTACAGGCCGTTAAACCGGGCGAGTCGTGTGTTTGCGCTCACTCTGAGCGCGTCGTGCTGCCATCGAGCCGAGCAGGCAGAGAAGACGCTACGCAAAGCTCTCACTCTGCTCGGCCGCCTTGGCGTTGAGCGAGAGCTCTGCCTCCTTGGTCAGCGCCTCGAGCTTCTCAAGCGTGGCCGACTTGACCGGCATGATAGCCGGGGCACACAGTTGCTCCATCATCACGTCCAGTCGCTGGTACACGATGCCCGCGACAGGCATCACCTCCTCCAGCTCGTCGTTGACCACCCCGCTCATGCCCGGCCGCTCTGCCTCCTGCACCCGCTCGTCGGCGCGCCCATGTGAGCCGCGTGTGTGCGTGTGTGTGCGCGTGGTCATATGCTCACCACCACCTCCACCCTCTACTTACCATGATGCTTTTGGTGTTGGAGTCACGTGGTTGGCCGTGTCTGCGGTGTCTGCCTCTGTGGCCATGGCCGTGGCTGTCGCTGTCGTGCGCTGTCGGCTGTGTCTTTTGTTCAGGGAAAACGACGAGTCGCGCCCGCCGAGCCGTCCCTTCCCCTCCCGCCCCCCCCCCCCCCCCCCCCCTCCAAGGAGGGCCACCCCCCTACGGTCGCAATACTTGGACCAGAGCACCACAAATCAGGCCGTGCGACACATTCTGTTCTCCTCTCCACACTTACGACCAGCAATCAGTCACCATGCAGCTGATGAACAAGATGTAGCAGGATGTGGGCGAGGCATTCACGACCTTTTTCGGTGTGTCGGCCGGGGTCGGTGAGTGACAGGAGAAACGACGAGTCGGCCGGAGTGGGGGGGGGGCGGCGGCGCCGAGTGCGGCAACGAGTCGCCTTGGCGAGTCATTGGCAGCAGTCGACGGCCACTTGGCTTTCATTTTTTGGCACAGCTTTTTGTACGTGAACAAGTAGGTGGCATTGGAAGGAGAGGTGGCGGGAGAGGCCGAGGGAGGGGGACAGGGATGGTGTACACCATGTCCCTGGTGGGGATGAGCGGATAGCTGGGCATGTGGGGAAACATGCACAGGGGGAGAGGAAACGGTATAGGTACCCGGAGTACCTTTGGCTATCACCTTGCTACACTCTCTACCTCACACGTAGCCAATGGCTTGTGTACCCCTCCGCACCTCGCCCTCGCTTCCTCCCACTTTCCTCATCTTCCTGGTCGCCTTGCTGGCGTCTTTGGCCATCGCCAGTGGCAACTCGTCCATTCGTTGATTCTACACTCCCTCCTCCACTCCATGTACACCGCCCCCCCCCCCCTCCCCTCCCCCTCCCCCTCCCCCCCTCCCTCTCCACCCCCCTCCCCTCCCATCACTCCGTACCCATACCAGAGTTATACTCCATTTGCTATTCCCCCCATGACATGCACTGCCGTCTGCTCTCTCGGGCCGCCCTGAGGTGGGCGCAGCAGGCCAGGCTGCCAGCCAGCCCACGCCCCCCCCCCCCCCCCAATCACCACCACTGCTACCATCACCATCACACCTGGTCTCACTCACACTTGTCCTGACATATATATATATATATTCATATCCTCAGCTATAGGAAGAAGCGCCCGGCAAGAATAAGCAAGACCAGGACTCTCTTCCTCGACCACCAACCACCTCCGCCGCGTACTGGCCAAAGCCACTTCCTCCGCTCCATCCCTCCGCTCCGCTCCTCCGCTCAAAGCCGGCCACTGACTGCGCCGACTGCCTTCGGAGACGACCAAGGACAAGGACTAGGTTGTTTGTAGATAGAGATCGATAAGTGACAATGTCGTACGTTGCGCTGACGAATGTCGAGGTGCTGGACAACCCGACGATGTTCACCAACCCGTTCCAGTTTGAGATCTGCTTTGAGTGCACAGCGCAGCTGCAGGACGACCTAGAGTGGAAGCTGGTGTACGTCGGGTCTGCGGAGAACGACTCGTACGACCAGCTGCTGGACTCGATTCTGGTCGGCCCCATTCCTGTGGGCGTCAACCGGTTTGTGTTCCAGGCTGACGCCCCCGACCCGTCGTCCATCCCGGCGGCCGACCTGCTCGGCGTCACCGTCTGCCTCCTTACCTGCTCGTACAAGGACCAGGAGTTTGTCCGCGTTGGCTACTATGTCTCCAACTCGCTTGCCGACGGAACCGATCCCGAGACCATCGCCGCCGGCACCCAGATCGACCCCAACAACATTGTCCGCTCCATCATCGCCGACAAGCCCAGAGTCACCACCTTCATGATCGACTGGGAGAGTTGAGCAATGAATGTGTTAACTGCCTCCTCCCCCTGTCCCTCGCTTCTCCCTCGCTCGCTAGCCTGCTGCGTCCACTCCGCAAAGGCCATCACCCACATGTGAGTGAGAACGAACAAACACGACGCATACCATTTCATATGCGCGCCATCATTGATGGATGACTGGCCTCTGATCTGCACCCTCTAGTCAGAGAGTGTCATCAATATCTCTGATGTGCCGTGAGTCGAGAGTATTGTGCGGGAGAAGTGTCTGTCTTGGTAGAGCCGGGTGAGACTGCGTGAGGCTGCGTGAGGCTGAGGGAGTGGCTGGGGTCGGTCGAGGAGGAGGCCGGGGGACGGGGACACGGGACGGGACAAGGGACCAGTGTTTGAAATTTCGCGAAATATTGGTCAGGAATGAATACCTGGACCTTTGGAATGAATATTCCTCTACAGGTCGATACCGAGCTTCGTGGAGGCAGCGATCCAGCAGCGCGTGAGCACCATCTTCTCGATCCTTTCGGAGTCAAGACGGTTGCGCTTACGAGTGAGCATGTCTGTGCCCACCGAGTTGAGCCGTTCCACGCTCGCAGCTGCAGCAGAGGGGAGCAGCAGCGGACGAAGGAGCGCCGTTGCTGCCTCCATAAGATCGAAGATGCGCTGATCGTCACCGAAGCGGCACTTAGTGCGGGCCAAGGCGGGGATCAGCTGGATGCGCGCGTCTGGCGACATCGTTACACCGATGTTCTTGTAGTCGAAGATGGCCTGAGTTAGTGCCTTGGAGTAACTCTCGATTAGCAGAGTCGCGGAAGGGCGGTTGCTCGCCTGCTGGGCAAAGGCCGTGCGCGGCTTCTTGGACCCAACGCGACTACCGGTGGTAGCCTCAAGCTGGCGCTTGTACTTTTGCAGAATAAGGTCCACAACTTCATCACATCGTGACGACTCAGTCCCGCACTCGGACACACCTGATGAACCGGCACTGATGTTGTTCGCAGATGCAGAGGCGCGCCGAGGAGCATCATCTGGGGCAAACGCGATGTCCACCACTTCCGGGACAGGTTCGTTCTCGGTGCGCGCAAGCTGGTCATGGAATGCAACCGCAATCTTGCTCGCAAAGCGGCCCCACACGTCGCGGCGAACGCGCTGGATCAAGGTATCTGTCGTTCTGTCGCCGTACAATGCCTTGGCGTAGCAGCCATAAAACTCTCGCAGTTGCTCATGGGTGACCTCGGGGTCAATGAGGAAAGCGAATAGCGATGTGTCTTGCTCGGCAAAGTACTTGAGCTCGCTTCCGATTGCCTTCAAAGCGGCTGTGCCCGCGCCAGACGCCTGGACTGAGATAATCTCTTGCATGCCGGAGCGCATATGCAGCATCGTCACAATCGCATCCGAGGGCCGATTATCCTCCCTCTGCGATCTGGTGGAGGCCATGTCGATCATGCTGAGGACTGGGTACGCGAGCTTGAGCTGCGCCCAGTCGTCGTCCGAAAGCTTCTCGACCGAGACCTCCGGCATGGAGCAGAGCTCGTCAATGTCCTCGCGCATGTCGAGCATGCGATTGAGCATGGCAACAGTCGACCCCCAGCGGGTGACGACAGATGGGCGCAGCGACCGCGGACGACGACGTGGCATGATAGGAGGGGCGACCTTGTGCGCCAATCCGCCCTGCACTAGCCCTTTGTACTTGGAGACCTCGATGTTGTACTCCTCCTGTTCCAAGTGCTCCTTCTTGTCAATGATATGGTCGAGGTAGCGCTTGACCTTAGACGAGCGCTGAACGAGGGCCACAATGCGACGAGCCTTCGACAGAGGATCCGGGCGACCATCGAGAGGGGCATTGGGCAGGTCTGAGAGCAACAAATCGTCGAGGGGGACGTCATCGTTGGTAGCACCGGGGTTCTTGCGCTTGGCCACTGGCGCAACTGGTGCGGGCGCCGACAAGTCGGCTCCGCTGAACGGACCTGGCGTTGGATCGCTCGAGTTAGCCTCCATTGGCTCGGTGTCGCTACCTACGTCATCCCCCTCCGTGTCCGAAAAGTTGTCCACAAGCTTGTCTCCGACTAGGTCGAGCATGTTGTCCTGCATGATGAGCTCAGGGCAGGGCTCGGCGACCGAGCCGAGGTGGCGGATGACCTTGCCTGCGATGAGGTTGATGCGGTGGGATAGGCAGGGAAACCAAGGCAGACCAAGCTCACGCGCCATGCACGGCATGACCGACGTGGTGTCAGTCGCCACGCCGCAAACACGGCCCCACTCCAGTCCCATCCGATCCGTGCATTCCTTCACCATACTGGCCAGTGTGGCCGCATTGGTAGACAGGTGATCCAGTGCTTCCGCTGCTACGGCGCCTGATGATGGCTCGCTATCCAAACCAGTCTCCTGGATCGCGAGCATAGTCTCAGGCGTGAGGGCACGAAAAGCAACCGGAACGGTTACACGCTCTCCATCATTATTGTAGAAGGAGGCGCACATGCCGAGAAATGACTTGTGTGTCGCCTTGGACGTCCACTCGTCGACATACAGCACGACAGGTCCGGACTTTGTCAGGTTGACGACGGACTGGCGGCAGCGCTCAAACAACGCATCAAGGCCAGGTCCGGCTACCTGGTACGCAGATGGAAGTACTTGCTTGATTTGCTCAACAGAGAGGCGCGATGCCGCCGCCACCATGGCGTGCATGTCGGGGTTGTCCATGATGCGGAACGGCGAGTGCGAGCTCAGGACGAACTTGACGGCTGCAGGCGCCGTTGCCCTCTTGCGAGCCGCTAGTGACTTGCCGGACAGCGTCCCAAGTGACTGCGTGATGGATGGCTGGGACGAGGTCTCAGGGCCGACTGCCTTAGCAAGCCGCTGGATGAGGCTGCGGTGCTGAAGCTTCATGTGGTTGGCGATGTTGGAGGTCTTACCATGCGAGGCGGTGACCTGCACGCCACACAGCATGCATCGAAACTTGCCATCCTCGCCACCTTCATCTTCGTAAACCACCGACCAGTACACGCTTGGCTTGCTTTGACTGCGAACACGCAAGTTGCGCAGCACATCGCCGGTCATGGTAGTGCTGAGAGCGGTGTAGATTCTGGCGTCAAGTCCGGGCAAAGTCGCACATGTGGGTATTCATAGCCCCGAAAGGGAATACCGAATTGAATACCTGGATGAATAGACCGATGAATGCTGGTATTCATTGCAAACACTGCAAGGGACACGGGACACTTCCCTCCCTCCCTCCCTCCCTCCCTCCCTCCCCTGCCCCCCCCTCCCTCTCTCTCTCTTCCCTCTGACCTTGTAGAGGGCAAGACAAGCTAGCCAAGACCAGCTGGAGAGCGAGAACAATACCACCGACGTGTGCGCCCCTCCCGTGTTGTACCCATCCCATAGGTGATGGCGGTAGCAAGGCAGGGCATGTGTGGCGGGTGGACAGGGACCATGGGCATGGCGGTGGTCATGGTGGTTGTCTGGGCTGGAGTTGTCATGGCGCTTCCTAGCTATGTCCGTCTGGCCCATGTCAATACTGAGGTATGTGGTGTGTGTGGTATGTGTGTGTGTGGTGTGTGTAGTCTGTGTGGGTGTGTGGGTGTGGGTGTGGCTGGGGTTGGGCATTATCTGTGACTCATTGGTGGTGTGGGTGTGGCTGGGGTTGGGCATTATCTGTGACTCATCGGTGGTGTGGGTGTGGCTGGGGTTGGGCATTATCTGTGACTCATCGGTGGTGTGGGTGTGGCTGGGGTTGGGCATTATCTGTAACTCATCGGTGGTGTGGGTGTGGCTGGGGTTGGGCATTATCTGTGACTCATCGGTGGTGTGGGTGTGGGCATGATCGTGCTTGTGGTGGTCATGGACGTGGGTATCATGTGGACGCGGTTACTCGCTGTGATGATCGCTTCTACGCTGGACGTGGCTGTCGGACGACAGAGCACCGGCGACGTGGCTCTGTTCATCAATGATGCCGCCGCGACAGGTGTGACCGCGCTGGCCCACAAGACAGTGTCGGCGTACGTGGAGCTCGCACCGTCGGACGACCCGTACGTGCTGACGGTCCGCGCTTCGGGCTCGGTCGTCCACACCTTTCCCAACATGACGGTGACGGCTGATGCCGAGGCTGCGTTCTTTACCCTCTGCTTTGTCGACTCGTCGTTTGCGGGCTCACTGGTTCTTCCGGACACGGCGACTTCGACGCCGCCGGACCACGCCATGCGGTTTGTCAACCTTGTGTACGCGGCGACGGCGACCGACGGCCCGCTCCTCAACGCTGCGTACAACTCGCGGCAAGAGTACATGGTTGCCACTGGCCTCGTAGCCTTTGATGGGACCAACGGCGCCGCCTTTCCGCACAAGAAAGTGCTGATCAACGAGACGTCGTACGCGTTCTTCCGCCCGCCGCCAGCGGTCTCTGCGACGGCGACGTCGGCGACGATTGCGCTCGCGCCGGGCGCCGCCACCTCCCTCCTGCTCCTCGCCGACAACTCGGTTGTTGTTCTTGCCAACGAGTTTACCCGTGGGCGGAGTCTCGAGCAGCTTGTTGACCTCGATGGCGGGCGGGTCGACCGCGCGCTTGTCATCCGCGGGACCGTGGCGGTGAAGGTCAACAGTGCGACGACGGTGACGGACTCGGTGACGCTTGCAGGCTCAGGCAGCCTGCTCGCCAGTGCGCCGCTCACCGTCGGCTCGCTGCTGGCGCTCACGGAATCGTCGGTCTTCGCCGTCGCCGACGTCGCCGTTGTCGCCGCCCGCCTCCGCGTCGATCTCGGCACCGTCCTCTCGTTCCGCGTCTCGTCGACTGAGCCGACGCCCCTCGTCGTCGAAGGCCGCGCCGACCTCGCCGGCAACGTCCGTGTTGTTGTCCCGGCCTCGTACAAGTTCCGCAAGGGGACGCAGTATACAATCCTCACCTGCTCGCCATGTGTCGGCTCGCTCGTCAACGCCTCGGTCGTCCTCGTCGAGGAGCGCGCCGCGCTTCGCCACCGCGCCCCACTGCAGAGTCTCGTCGTCTCCGAGACCGAAGCCATTGTGGCGTGCACGGCCTCGTCGTGCGTGGTCACCGCAGGCAATGGCCTCCCGCCACCACCGCCGAACGTCACTAACGATGCCAACGCGGGGCGTATGGTCATTGCCATCGCCTTTTTACCCTCGCCTTCTTCTGCTTTGTTGCCTTTTGCGTCCGCAAATGCTGGATGATTCGCCAGGAGGAGTCGCGCGACTCGCGGTTCTACGAGGTCAACAAGGGCATTCGCGAGCTGGAGTCGAAGCAAAACGTCCGCCGCGGCACAGGTCACTCGCACGACGCTTCAGTCGCCCGCTCGGCCTTTGAGGACGTCGAGGCCGTGGCCGCGGCCGCCATGGCGGGCGCTATCGACGACTCGTCGTCGTCGTCGTCGTACACCTTTGCGTCGGCGTCGTCGTCGTCGTCGTCATCGTCGTGAGGTAAGTAAACACGCTCGTGCCCCATCTGCTACTGCCCCACATTCTCTACGCCGCTAGCAACGGCCTCTGCCTCGCGGCGGCGCAGCTCGGACGACGAGACCTTGCTCGCCTCGTCGACCTTACGGCCGTCCTCGTCGACCATCTCCACCACAACGACGTCAAAGTTCGGATCGAGGCCGCGGGTAGCGCGGAGCTCGCGGATGCCTGCCACGTTCTTCAGCACGCCAGGCTCCTCCGACACGACCAGGACGTCGATCTTGGCCAGCGAGCCCGCCGGGCCGGCCGGGTCATCCAGCGGAACCAAGTCGACGGCAATCGATTCCGCCGCGGCACCACCCTTGGCCTCGAGCGCATCCGCCAGATGGGCGCGGACCGCACCTGCCCTACGATCAAACGGCTCGATGAGCTCAGCGTAGGCCTTTTGCACCAGCATCTTGTCAGCTGTCACGCCGACCACAAGTGTGGTGGCCTCTGCTTGTGCCGCCGCCGCCTCGGCCGCCGCGTCCAGCAGCAAGCGATGTCCGCGGTGCAGCCTGTCGAACGTTCCACCGACCAGCACGTGGCCCGCCCTGCTCCACCCACGCCCCTCCATCACCCGCCACATGCTGTGCAACCGCAGCATTCTCTGTCGTTGCTGGCCAAGGCAAGTGTGCACGGAGCGTTGAGATCCAAGCGCTGAGCGCCAAGAGAAGCTGTTCATGCGCCCCCTTTTATCGTTGCCCAGCATACCATTAATCGTTCGCCCCCCTTTTATCGTTGCCCAGCATACCATTAATCGTTCGCCCCCCTTTTATCGTTGCCCAGCATACCATTAATCGTTCGCCCCCCTTTTATCGTTGCCCAGCATACCATTAATCGTTCGCCCCCCTTTTATCGTTGCCCAGCATACCATTAATCGTTCGCCCCCCTTTTATCGTTGCCCAGCATACCATTAATCGTCCGCCCCCTTTTATCGTTGCCCAGCACACCATTAATCGTTCGCCCCCCTTTTATCGTTGCCCAGCATACCATTAATCGTCCGCCCCCTTTTATCGTTGCCCAGCACACCATTAATCGTTCGCCCCCTTTTATCGTTGCCCAGCATACCATTAATCGTTGGCCCCCCTTTATC